TTTACTCATTTTTACGCTTCGTTTTATTTTTTTTATTTTTATTTTTGTTTAAATATATTTATTTATTTCTTTTTTCTTTCAACTACATGGCTTGGCTGTACGCGCCCACTCTCTCTAAACCTAATTGTATTAATGTTCATAACCCTAATTTTCAACCATGGTGATTAAAATAAAATTAATGCTACATCAGCTATTAGGAGCCTTTTCTTCCTATTCTTTATGCTCTTTTGGATCTTTCTTCCTGTCATAATAAATGAAGCTGGATATGAATTGTCAATCTTAGCTCTAAAAATATATATAAATCTTAGGTCTTAATTCTTTTAAATATTTTGAAATTTAAATCCTTAATTAATTTTTTCTTTAATTGAAAGGCCTCGTTGAATATTAACTAATTTTATTTTTACTTGTATTGTAATAAGTTGTTTTATTGATTTAATTGATTCATTTATAAAACACTATTAAAGATAACCCTTTCGAGATACTTCAGTATCCAACTTGGACATCTTATTTTCCGGTGTCCTATTCTAAAACATATATTCCATGTTTTTATAATAAACATAAACAAACATATTGACAAATGACTCCATTTTCAAAATAATTGGATGTTTACCCCTTCCTTTAAAAATTACATAGGAAGGTTGATTACTCGTATATGTAATAACAATAATTTAATTTTGCATTTTGTAGTTGTCCTCTAATTTACTTTCATAATTTTGTATTGTTTTATGTAACGTCTTAGGCCAAGGATTCAGAATCTGCACTTAACTCTAATCGCCTGACATTCTCCTGCATCTCTTGCGATTCGACTGTGCCACCGTCTAGTTCTGAGCTACTTAGAAAAGCATAGACTATCTTCTATGCTCGAGTAGAAAATGAATCGATACCACATCCGAGAGGGATCTTGAGATCATGAAGAATGGTCAAGAAATATTTAAAATAATTGATTGTCACTACCTATATTAACAAGGTGCACTTTTCTTTTCGGTAACTCAATTGTAAGAACACAAAAGTTAAGCGGTGAGTAAGGATAAAGCATACTCAAAGAACTCGTGTTGGTCTGTAGGAATAGTCTAAGCTCTTCTAAGATCTGAATCTTAAGCCTGTGGTGTTACATTTTCTCCCTAAGAAAATTTCTAGCTTGGCAGAAACCGGCCTAAATGGAACAAAAAATCCTTACTGTACAAAGCGTAATTAATTAAGAAAACCCATTAATATATAGCAATTATACATTTTGAACACGTTTTCAAAACTACTAAATGTTAAATGGCAAGAGAAAAATATTAGAAAATTTCCTTTAATTATGAAAGGAATCTGATACACTGGGGCCTATTATTTTGGTGTTGGTAAAACTTAGAAAAAAAGCCACTTTTTCGCACCTTCCTCTTCTTTTAAATTATGGTTTGAACCAAAAACCACTGTCTGTTGCTCCATTTTTTCCCTTAAATTTCTTGCCGAACTTCTCGACCAGACGATGACAATGCATGCATGGGAAAAAGAAGGAGATGTGCCCAAATTGTTCACCATTTTCATCATGATTCCAAGTCCAACCCCATAAAGTTTGACTCACCTCTAAAATTAACCAATCAAATTCCATTAATTTGAATCATACTTTACCAGTTGCCCTATGTATAAATGCATTTAATTTAATGCCCTAAAGTTCTAAATGCCCATATATATGGTCAAACTTTGGCGATCTTTTTCTTCTCTCTTTCTTTGAAAAATGCTTAAAGTATGAAGCTCAAGTTGCTTTGCAAAGGAAAATTCTTGCAATATTGTCAAAAGTAGAAAGAAAGAAAGTTGGCTAAAAGCTTTTTCTAGTTTTAACATTTTTCTGTCCATCCCTATTTTAGGAAAAAAAAAAGTTTTATGGGGTTTCTAATAAAATAGTCTAAAATAATATTCTTGATTCCTCTCTTGTATATTTAAATGAAGTTAAAGATTTCACAACCTATCCATATCTCCTATTTTGGAGTTGGATTAATCAAGTATTTTTTTTTCTTAATTTCGTTTAAACTATTCTCATCTTTCAAAAGAAAATTTAATGCAGTTTAAAGTGGTTGAAGCAAGAAAGATGATCTTTACTCAAAGGAGGAAGGAAAAGAAAAGCTAAAAGACGTCACAAAGGAGTTGAAATTGCGTGTACAATCAGTATAAGGAAAAAATGGTGGAAGGAAAAGAATGGTGGTAGATTTTATGGGAAAAATATATTATAAAGTTCTTTTTTTATTAATTTTCAATTTTTTATATAAAAGTTTTAGTTCAAAACAACTAATTAAGGTAATTATAGAATCCTATTCACTAAATTATACTCAGATTAAGTCACACCTCATCGTATTATACTAAAAAAACTTATTAACTTAAATATATAATATTTGTAGATTTGTTATTTAATTAATAGAATATTTTTAGTTTAGTTATTAAAATAACGGTAAAATGTTCATTTTAGTAATTAATGTCTATAGGCAATCAGAGACTCAACTGAAATATGTAAGAGAATATGAAGATGGTCAAAATATTTTGAGTAAAATTATATATCTAATCATTTTTATTTTCTAATAACTAGGAAATATAATTTGTATATTATTTTATTGAATTTACATGGTAAAGTATTAAAGAACATATAAATGTGGTTGGTATTTCATTGAGAGTCATGCAGGTTTTTTTTTTTTTCTAGAACAAAAATAGTGATGCAGTTTAGCTCAATATTATTGCTTATTTAAATTTTAATCAGCTATTCATCGTAAATAGTTGACTCAATGAAATTTCATTTTATTTAACATGTACTCCTTCATCATCTCATAAAAGTAATAATAAAGTTTTTACTTCTTAATAAAATAATATATTTTTGAATATATTGGTAGTCTTATTTCTTTTTAAAAATAACATATTATATATTTTTTAGGCTATTATGTCTTTCTTTTTATTTATTTATTGATTTATTATTTTTTTTTCTTTTGCAGTTATCGCTAATTTTAATTAATATGGCCAATAATTTATCCACACTATACATTTTGAATAGAATAAGAGTCTTAGTGTTAGATCCTTGAATTATTTACCCTATTATTGACTACATCTAGAACAAGCCCCCACTATATATTAATTGAGGCAAGGACAATTTGGGTATTATGTAGTTAGCTTGCATATAGAAGTCCTCTTTCTTTTCCTTTTTGTTTTTTGTTTTTTTTTTCTCTCTCTTTTATTTTTATTTCCCTAGTAATTAATTGAGGTCTTTGAAGAAGAAAGAATGAGAGTGATTTATAAACCAAAATATATATTAAACGAATCAATTAAACAAAGACTCGTGGAATATATCTAATATTTTAATCGGTAGTTGAAGAAAATGATTGGTCTGTCACGTTAACTAATTTAACACCCTTTACCTCTACAGCAAATCTAATTTACAATAATCTGTTAAATTTAGAAAACAACAAATAATTTATATAGTTTATTTAATTATTTATCTAACATATATTTGAAAACAAATCTATTTTTCTTTCATTTAGGATAAAAGAAATTTTATGCCCTTTTGTTTTGAAAATTGTACTATTTATTTCAATAATTCAACTAGAGATGGTACTTTTCTGTGTGCGTTCATGGATTTTATATATAATAACTTGATTTAATTAATTATAATGTTGTCGAAGTTGAGCTATGTTCAATGAATTAAGATGCATAACTAGAAGTGGTGAGTTTGAATCCTCCATCCTATATGTTGAACTAAAAATTGTTTCTATTAAATTAATAATTTCACGTTGTGCACCCATTTTCCCTATAATTCATAGTCCCCATTTTTTATTATCCCTAAATTTGAAAATAATCCAATTAGAAAAAAAAAACTTTAAAAATTACAGTTCAGATAAATTTTCTATAAATAAACAAAGATTCTGTATTTTTGAAATATGATGTAAATGTGGGGTTACTAATACTTTAACTAATCCTTACAAAAATTATTTCAAGAAATTCAAAATTGTTTTAAAAACATAATTATCAAACAACATATATCAGATTCGGGTCATGTTTTTAGAATTATGTAAGAACAAAATAAAGGTTAGTAAGACTAATTATGACAAGGAAAATTGATTAGAAAGAAAAGAAGTGATATAATGGAATAATTTATCGAGAGAAATGGAAATAGATTAGATTAGATGGGGTAGGTGATTTAGGTCTAATATGAAGGGAAAAAGGGATTTAGGTCCAGTATTATTAAAGAGTCGTGCATTAGTAAACAAAATGACGACATTTAAATTTAAAATTAATTAAACCCGGGAACTAATTATTCGGGGGGGCAATATTGAAAACCAATTAGAAGACGAAATCAAGAAAAATAAAAAGGATATATATTTTGATAGAAAGAAAAAAAGTGGGAGCT